GCATCCCCTGGCTGAAAGCAGGCGCAGAGCACAAACAAGCATGGCACCAACCGGTGTGTGGCCCTCGTCCAGAAATTTAAAAAGCCATCACTTCACCAAAATATTTAGTGTTGGGCCAACGTCCAATGATCAGAACCTACAACCATCAGTGACAGTTCTGATGCAGACCCCAGCGAGACCCAACCGCTCCACAGCCTGAAGAACAGGAAGAAAGAAAACTTGCACCACCCAGCAGAGGCAAATCCAAAGTCTAGCAAAATCCCTGCTTAGGAATCCACTAGTGCTCAAAGAGGTGAGAAGGAGCTAGCCCAAATGACCCTTGCTCCTCATGCTAACTGCATTGCTGACCCAAAAGGAGATGACATTTGTGAATGAATCAGCTATATTGATCCACCAGGTTCTGCATGAGAAGGTGATTTTCCCCCCATCAGATTATCTGCTTAAACCACCAAAGGTTACTTTCCACACCAGAATCTACCACTGCAACAGCAGTCAAGAGCCAGGGAGCCCTCAGACCCAACATCCTTACACACGTATACAGGGTTAGCTGTGTCTTGTTCCCTTCTGATACACTACAATCTTGCAGATAATGTGGTTGGAAGCACAGCCACTCAGTATTTGACCAACAGAGCAGAATATGACAGGATAGCCAGACAGTGGACACAGAGATACCCCACTGAATTCAAACCATTTGTATGCAGTGTAAAGGAACCATAGTCTTCTTCTCACTCTGCTTCAAATCTTTATACTCTTTACAATGTGGGCTTCTGTGCATATGTTATACTGACTCTACTCTCTGCTTTTATGCTTTGGAGACTGGGAGACTCACTCAAAAGGTAAATGCTATCAAGAGTAGCACTTTGTAGCTGTCGACTAATTATGTTTAAAATGTCTAATTAGCCAGTTCTGGTGGCATTTCCCACCAATTGGCTTCAATCTGAGGATAGAGGTTCAAAGCCAGCCAGGCAGGAAAGTCTGTTAGATTCTTATCCCCAATTATCTGCCAGAAAACCAGAAGTAGTACCATGGTTCAGGGTGGTAGAGCAATAGCCTTGAGCAAAAGATCACAGAGACAGTTCTCAGGACCTGTGTTCAAGTTCCTCAACCAACAAAAAATAAAAAAGAAAGTAAGAAAATATCTCTTTGTAGCTGGTTGCTAGTGGCTCATGCCTGGAATCCTAGTGACTCAGGAAATCCTAGTGAGTCTAAGGAACAACGTTCAGTCTGTGAGACTGGTATCTTCAATTAACTACCAAAAAGTCAGAAGTGGTGCTGTAGCTTAAGTAGTAGAGTACTAGTGTTGTAAGGGAACTCAGGTCAAGAAACACAGAAGCCACCACTTAAGAGGCCCAATTAGGAGTCTTTATTGGAGAGCAGTTAGACTGCTGATAGACTCTTTCTCAAAGACCAGCAGCTACAAATGCAGCTAGCACAAAGCTTATATGACCAGGGGCTGGGAAGGTGGCTCAGTGGTAGAGTACTTGCCTTGCATGCCTGAGGCCCTGGGTTCGATTCCTCAGCACCACATAAGAAAAAAGCTGGAAGTGGCACTGTGGCTCAAGTGGTAGAGCGCTAGCCTTGAGCTGAAGAGCTGAGGGACAGCACCCAGGCCCAGAGTTCGGGCCCCACGACCGGACCAAAAAAAAAAAAAAGCTTATATGACCAAATCCACATGAGTTGTGAGGAATTTATCCTAACAAAAGTAGTGTACAGAAGCAAAGATAACCAGATGAAGACACTTAAACCTAATAAAGCTGTGGAAAAGAAGAAAAGACAATTATTTAAGGGAAGGAAGACTTTCCTGGAGTTTAGCAACTCAGGACACCTGTGTAATCCAAAGGATGTCCTCTATCACCTCTAGAGATTTTCAGAGCTGTGTGGAAAGCCCCTGTGCCCAGCAAGGCACCAAGATGGCTGTAAGGACAAGGCCTATTGCTTCAAGCATATTGCTTGTTCCCAACCTCCTAACTTCACTGGCTTTAAGAGAAAAAACACCTCAGGGACAGCTCCCAGGCCCTGAGTTTAAGTTCAAGACCAGGTCCGTATTCTACTGACAAGTCTTGTTTTTGAGGAGCTATCTATCTATCTATCTATCTATCTATCTATCTATCTATCTATCTAGATGCTGATCCTGGCGCTTAAACTAAGATTTTGAGTGCTGTCTAGAGTTTTATTTTTATTTTTGTCAGTCATGGGGCTTAAACTCTGGGCTTGGGTGCTGTCCCTGAGCTCTTCAGCTCAAGGTGAGCACTCTGCTGCTTGAGCCCATAGAGCCACTTCTGGTTTTCTAGTGGTTTATTGGACATAAGAGTCTCATGGACTTTCCTTCCCGGGCTGGCTTTTTTTAAAGTTTTTTTTTTGTGTGTGAAAAAACTATACAGGGGGGTTACAATTACATAAGCAGTGTAATGAGTACATTTCTTATCAAGCATTGTTGCTTCCTCCTTTGTTTCCCCTTACCATCCCTGCCCTCCCATCGGCCCATCCCCTATACATGAGTTCCTTTTATTGCCAGTCCTGGGGATTGAATTTAGAGCCTGGGCACTGTCCCTCAGCTTCTTTTGCTTAAGGCTAGCACTCCACCACTTGATCCACAGTGCCACTTCCAGCTTTTTCTGTTTCTGTGGTACTGAGAAATGGAACCCAGGGCTTCATGCATGCTAGGCAAGCACTCTACCACTAAGTCACATACCCAGCCCCCCAGGCTGGCTTTGAATCATGATCCTCCTATCTCAGCCTCCTGAGTAGCTGGGATTTTATGTATGAGCCACTGGTGCTCGGCCTTATTTTTTATTTTAAGGGTAGCACCCTACAACTTGACCCACAGCTACACTTGGAGCTTTTAGTGGTTAATTAGAGATAAGAATCTCCTGGGCTTTATTGCCCTAGTTGACTTTGAGCCACAATCCTCAGATCTCAACCTCCTGAATAGCTAGGATTACTGGCATGAGCCACTGGGGCTTGGTCTCAATGTATTTTTTGTGATGTACTAAGGACACTTGTCCTCAAGTCTACAAAATGTGTGTGTGTGTGTGTGTGTGTGTGTGTGTGTAGCTAGTCCGTGGGACTGGAACTCAGGGCCTGAGCACTGTCCCTGAGTGTCTTTTGCTCAAGGCTAGCACTCTACCACTTGAGCCACAGCACCACATCTAGCTTTTTCTGTGTAGGTGGTACGGAGGAATTAAATCCAGGGCTTCATGCATGCTAGCTCTGCAAGCACTCTACCACTAAGCCACATCCTCAGCCCTATCAAAAAAAATTTTTTTACACATGACAGAGGTTTTATTCTTTTTTTTTTTTTTTTTGCCAGTCATGGTACCTGAACTCTGGGCCTGGGCACTGTCCCTCAGCTCTTCAGCTCAAGGCTAGTACTCTACCACTTGAGCCACAGCACCACTTCAGATTTTACTGCCCAGGCTGCTTTGAACTATGAACTCACATCTGAGCATCCTCAGTAGTTAGGATTCCAAGTGTGAGCCAGCAGTGCTTAGCCAGTGCATAGTTTTCTTAGTAATCTCAATAAGATATACTTCACATAAAACAACCATTTTAATCCCTCAGCATTAACTAATTCACAGTATTATAAAATAAATCATATCATATTTCACTCAAATGTATCAATATGGCATAAATTGTACTATTTCTTACATTACTATATATTTTCTCGTTCCTGGGGCTTGAACTGAGGGCCTTGGCACTCCCTGATCTTCTTTGGCTCAAGGCTAGGCTAGCAGTCTACACTTGCACCACAGTCCAACTCAGCTTTTTCTTTTTTTTTTTAATTATTCCAAGCAGTCTTATTAAATAAGGTGTATAGAATGAGATATCAAATCAGGAAAGAGAGATGGAGAGAGATGATTCTTTTACATTGAAAATTTTCTGAGTATTTTATTGGAGGTCAAAGTCTCATAGCTTTTCTTTTCAGGGCTGCCTTTGAATCACAAACCTCAGATCTGAGCCTCCTGAGTGCCTAGGATGACAGCTGTGAGCCACCAGCCCCTGGCTGATTTTCATGATTATAAAGCTAACTACTCAGGAGGCTGAGTGCAGAGGTATCAAGGTTTGAGACCAGCCTGACCAATAAAGTTGAAGAGACTCTTTCTCAGCAATTACACGAAGATATAATAGGACTCCACGTGAGTGTCAAGGGGGAGAGCACCAGCCTAGCAAGCTGGACACCTGAGTTCCAGCTCCAGAAACACCGCCCCTCCTTGGCCCGGCCTTAAAAGGGCGACTCGCGCCCTCTAGCGTCCCGGCTCGCGCACAGCCCTGGTTGCCAGCTTTGCAGAGCTGTTGTGGGGCAGATGCCAGCTTCACTTTCACTATGGCCTCTGCTGCCTTCCTCCTCCTCCAGGCCTGCAGGTCGGTTCCTGCTGACTCCAGCCTCCCACGGCCCCGCCCTCGCCTCCCCGCGGAGCAAGCCCGCTCCTGTGGCTGCTATGCACTGTGCCTTTCCGCTGCCTCCCCCCCTGCCCGCCCACAGCTGCTGTCCACACCCCAAGCCAATGCTGCTCCTTGTGGGTTCCAAGCTGCCTGGCTGGCGGCCTTCACTCCAGGCAGCTGGACATGGGGCGGGGACAGACTCCAGCAGGGAAATAAAATCTCTGCCAACACCACAGCACGTTTAGAGGAAGGAAACTTTCAGCTCGGTGCTTGCCAAGGCCTAGCAGGAACCATGCTCCAACAGAACTTAACAGTGCTCCAACAAAGCTCCACTCTGCCTGTGCTCCCGGGCGCGGGGTCCCTGCTTCTGCTTCTGGAGCTGGCGCTGCTGGTGTTGGTGGGGATGGTGGTGGGGGTGGAATTCCGGGGTCTGGCTAGAACATGGGTGAGGGTCATGTGTCCATAGGGCCCATGTGAGGATGAGCAGGTGTCAGGCATGGATTGTTAAGGAAGCAGATCATCATCATCCACCTGCCTTGCTGGGGTAGTCCTGCTTGCTGCCTCTTAAAGCAGTTGTCCGCACAGACAGCGCTGAAGCTGTTCTCAGAGTTCTGCCTTCTTTTGCAAAAAATAATGTATCCTGTCATTGCTGGAGTTTTGTTGTTGTTGTTGTTTACACATTCTGGCACTTTTCTTGTTCTATCTGCATGTTAAGCACAGAACTGATCATTAGATTTCCTGTCTCAGCTGCTGCACTCAGGTTGTGCCCTTTCTTCCTGTCTCATTGCTTAAGGATCGGGACGCATTTCCCTAGGGCACAGGAAGGGAATCTCCTTCAGATCAGAGCTGAGTGTAAATGACTGCATTAGGTGAGCCAAACCCTAGAGACTGATGGGGTCATAACATACACTTGCAGAGGGGATGGGATTTGTACCCAGAGCCTAGCACAAGTCCTCTTCCACTGAGCTACATCCACAGCCCTTCGTTAATCACCAAGGCATTGCTGCCTAATACCTGTATTCCTAGCTACTCAGGAAGGTGAGATTTGAGGATTAAAGTTTGAGGCTAATCTGAACAAGAAAGTCCGTGACTATTACCTCCAATTACCTACCAACAAATCCAGAAGTGCAATTGTGCCTCTAGTGGTAGAGTGCTAGCCTTGAGAGAGGGAGAGAAAAAAAACAAGGATAGTGCCCAGGCCCTGAGGTCAAGACACAGAACAGGTACAAAATAGTTTTTTTTTGTTTGTTTCTTTTAAAATTACTCACTGAAGTGGAACCGGCTGGCCTTGAACTTGCTATGCAGCACATGCTGGCCTCTGATCATATTTCTCCCACCACACTGGCACCAGAAGAATGTGTTTTGCTGAAATGAATGATGCTAATGTGTTGTGAGTTTGATGATTCTACAAGTGCAAATTCTGGGTTGACTCTGGGAATGCTGAGACTTATTACTCACCCAGAGCTGGCAAGCATAGGGAAATTCCTTTCCAGAGTAGCCACCCGAGTTTGTATGGACACTGCAAATATGTTTCTAGAACAGAAGTTCCAACTTATCACAGAGCACATTGTAAAGCCAGAGAAACTGGGGCTGATGGGGTCAGGTGGCCAGGATAGTGAGAACTAGGGAGACAGCAGGAGAGTGCACTGAGTCCCAAGAGACCACAGCTGCTTATGGGTTCCCAGGAGAGAATTAACCACAACCTGACCTGCACAGGGCTGCAGCAGAGCAGGGAGCAGCCTGCAGGTGGCAGGCCTGTCCCTGGACACTGGCCCAGCTAGATGTGGCCAGAGAGGTCTCCTTGAGGGAAGAGGTTCCCAGTGTTCTGTGCAGTGCAGCCCAGGGGTTGGCAGCAGAGGACACTTAATCAATGTTAGTTGCTGGAAGGAAGGAGCCCTGTTGTCTGCATTGCAAAGTGGAGAAAATGACAACCCCAAGCGCTTCTAGCTCTCCTTCCAGTTGCTCAGATTCTTCTCTTGCCTTTCCTTGCACTTCTCAGCATCCCTGAGAACTCTTGTACATTCTGAACTGCTTGAGATTTATTACATTCTCCATGTGTGTGTGTGTGTGTGTGTGTGTGTGTGTGTGTGTGTGTGTGTGTGTTTGTATGCTGATCCTGAGACTTGAACTCAGGGCCTGTCCCTGAGCCTTTTTACTCTAGGCTACTCCTCTACTACTTGATTCACAAGTTCACATCTAGCTTTTTGAGGGTTAACTGCAGATAGAGGTCTTCAGGACTTCCCTACCGGGGCTGATGCCAAACCACAATCTTCAGAACTCAACCACGTAGGTAACTAGAATGAGTGATGTGAGCTACCAGCATTTAGCTCAGTCCTGAAAGTTTAGTCCTATCCATAAATTAGATGTCAAGAAAGGCTTTAAATAATGATTTTACCACCCATGGGTCCACTACACCTATTGAGAGTATAAATTGGAATCAACCACAATGGCATCCAAACCACTTACCTGAGAATAAGTGAAGAGGGATCAGGAATTTGTTACTTGCTGTGTGAATATTCTGGGAAGCACAATGCCGCCTTATACCTCCAAATTGGGATAAGGCCAACAGACCCAAAAACTTAACACAAATTTGAATGGATGAGATAAACTGAGTGTATTACCAGCCATGTACAAAGCAATAGATGCCTGTGCCTCCAAAGGGCTGTATTTACCCAAAGGATTCCAAGCACCAAAGTTGACATCTTCCTGCCTACTCTGCAATTAGGGAGGGGTTGTGTTTGTTTGGTTTTGGGGTGTTTTTTTCATCTGTCTTGAGTCTTGAACTCAGAGCTCTTTTGCTCAAGGCTAGTGTTGCACTAGTTTGAGCCACAGCAGTCCCTTGGGTTTTCATATGGTTCATTGGAGATGTGTCTCATGGACTTCTCTGCCTGGGTTGACTTTGAATGGCAATTCTTAGATCTCAGCCTCCTGAGTGTGTAAGATACTGGGCATGATCCACCAGAGCCAGGCTTCAGCACTTATTTATATGGTTCTACATTGATTAAAAACAAAACCCGACAACAATAGAGCAGGACTTGGGGTTGTGAAGACTTGTACTTGGCTCAGTGGTAGAGCGCTTGCTTTGTATGCATGAGGCCCTGGGTTAGATTCCTCAGCACCACATAAGCAAAAAGAAAAAAAGCCCGAAGTGGCACTGTGGCTCAATTGGTAGAGTGCTAGCCTTGAGCTGAAGATCTGAGGGACACTGCCCAGGCCCAGAGTTCAGGTCCCAGGTACAGACACCCCCTTCCCCCCCTCCAAAAAAAAGGCTGGACTTATATCGCCATCGTGTGGTCATATTTGAAAACTACAGGCCCGGATAGATTAAACCTATACTTTGGGACATTTGTATGTCTATCCTTTTTTTCTTCTTCATTAAACACCTTCTTTGACTTAAAAAAAAATATATATCAGAGATTGAAAATATGGCTTAGTGGTAGAATGCTTGCCAACATGCATGAAGCCCTAGCTTTGATTCCCCCAACCACATGGAAAAGGCTGAAAGTGGCAGTATGGATTAAAAGGGTAGAGCTATAGCTTTGAATAAAGGAAGCTCAGGGACAGTGCCCAGGCCCTGAGTTCAAGACCCAGAACTGACTATATGTATGTATATATATATATATATATATATGTATATATATATCTCAACTGAGAGCAAGTAGCACATGCCAGAAGTGATGTTGTGGCTCAAATTGGTAGAATACAAGCTTTGAGTGATAAAACTCTGGGACAGTGCCCAAGCCCTGAGTTCAAGCCCCAAGAAATGACACAAAAAGAAAATCACTATCAAAGTCAGGTAGTGTGGATACTGCTACACTCCTACCTACTCAGGAGGCAGAAGTCTCCCATTCATGACTTGAAACTGGCACTGATAGGAAAGTCTGGGAGCTTCTTATTTCCCAAAAACACGAAGGGAAGCTGTGGCTCAAACGATACAGTAACCTTGACCTAGAACAACCTGAGGGGCAGCACGCAAGCCATGAGTTCAAGCCCCAGGACTAGCACATATACAAAAAAATAAAACCCTCAAGTGAGAATCTTTTCTTCAGGTCTCTTCTCAAAGGCTCAACTCAGGAAATCCCAGATTCCAGGCAGTCCACAGAACACAGGTAAGGACTTTGCACAAGGAGATCTTCCAGTTTACCGACACTTTCTCTAGATATCTTCTTGGAGAATTTCACCACAACTCAGAAAAGTTCCCTCTAGGTCATGATGAACACCTAGTACCACAGTCAGCTCTGTCCCCACGCCCACACCATGTCACCTGTCCTGTAGCACTGCCTTCCTCCTGCATGTCATGGTCCTTCCTTGCTCTCTTACACACCCTGCCACCTGTCTCTTCTGCTAGCACACATGCTCCACAGCATGACAGTTCTGACCTCATTTGACTTTCTGAGAGATTCCAAATTCAATCTGCAGACCAAGGCCAAAGGCCTAAGAACCACATTGTTAAGTAGTCAGAGCAAAGGCCCTACTGTCTGGCAGGAGATTCCTGTGTTAATTTGTTTCTGAGAATGAAGCTGAGCAGAAGGGAGTGTTGTGGTCAGGGTTGAAAGGACCAAGTCAGCCTTAGAGGGAAGGCAGGGCACAGCAGGAAGCACAGCGCCTCTCGTGGCAGCAGGAGGCAGAGCAGGGCAGTAAGGGTGCAGAGAAACACAATCCCCAAGAACCCACACACAGTGCAGTCCCAACTACCTCAGTCCACGAGCTTCCAGAACTCTCTTCAGGTTTTCAATTTACCACCTGATGACACTTTCCCTAGGTCAGAGCTCTCATGACCCATTCTCCTTGAAATGCCCTGACACACACATGTGGACATGAACTCCACTAACTTGCAGATCCTCTCAGCCAATCAAGATGGGGACCAAAATTCCTTCCTGACTCTGCTCTTCAAGCCAGGAATTTGGGTGGGAGCAGAGCTGGGATTAACCAGAGCTGAGGGCAGGTGGAGGGAAGGTGGGCAGAGAAGTTGCAGAGCATCAGGAAGGGAGCTCGCAGGAGAAACCTGACATCCCTCCATTCTGCTCTTCCCACAGGTGGCTCCCTTGAGGGCACTGGGGACAGCACAGAACCACACTGGAGGCAGCAGTGCTAGAAGGAAAGCAAGCTGCCTCACATTGCCTTTCTCCTCACCACACACACCCTGTGCAAGGCTGCCTGGTGCTTTGGGAGGATGTGACAGCAACACACCCCCTGCTGCTGTCACAGAGACACCCAGAAGGCCAACAAGACACCAGCTCATGCAGGATGACAAGAAGGGACACAAGTATGGAGAAGAACTGATGGTGTCTTAGTAGAGGACTCAGGCCTGAGCCTAGTCTCAACTGCACAGTCTGTGCTGTGGCCTAGACAAAGAAAAAGCCCCTCTGATCATAGGTGCTCATGGAGAAGGTTCTAGAAAAACAACACAACTGAGGAGCAGGGAAGACAACCCAGGTGAGGACTGAATACATGACAGTCCAGAATGCACTGAGCTCCTATCCACACCTGCCTGTTCTCAGCCTAACCCTGGCCCCGCCCACAACACAGCTCAGCAAACAGGATGATTCTGGAATTTAATCATGTTTGATTTTCTATCTCAATTTTGGGAATCATTCATTGATTTATTCAACCTTTTTCCATGACAACAATTTGAAACACAGACCCACATCCACATTCTCTTTATCAGTGGGGAAGCAGCAGCTGCAGCTCAGAGCAAGGGAAAGTGAAGTCAGGGATGGGGAAGCCCTGGCCCCGCCTCTGCTGGAGCAGCAGCTGGAGGGGAAAGAGACCCAGGTCAGTGTGGGGAGGGTCCTGGTGCTCAGGGCTGGGCTGGCTCCTCAGTTCCTCACAGGAGGCTGACAGCACACAGAAGCCTGCACACGGTCAGAACCCAGGTACAGGAAGAGAAGTCAGGAGCTCATGATGTCCCAGGAGGGAGGAGGAGAGGCAGGAACAAATGCTGTGCCTCTCAGAGCCACACAAAGCAGCTGTGTCACACTGCAGGAGAAAAGAACAAGCACAACAATGCAGATCAGTCACTGTTAGCGACACACTCTGAGCAGGCCACTAACACCCAATGCACAGACCCTGCAACTACAACACAGCCTTCCCTGGGCCTCAGCCCTGCCCCCCATTTAGGGTCTCCAGTTGTCACCTTTTTCAGCTCTGAGGGAAGCATCAGAACCCTGGTCACTGTCGTCTCCTGTGGTGGAAGAGAGGAACTGGTTAGAGAACACAGGCGTCACTGGAGGAATTCCGGGTGCATGAGCTCCCACAGGTCCTGTCTGCACCACAACAAAGGTCACCTCCTCCCCCATGGCACTCACTTGCAGCCTTATCATAGCCTTCTCT